TTCTGCCTGGTTGTGGGCTTCCGAGTGGCTGGTACCCGTGGGAAAGGAGGGCAATGCCAGCCCTCGCTCGGGGCCACGCTGGCAGAATTAACTCTCGTTCGCTTCATCTGGAGGCTCAACGCCTTCGTGCTGTTCCTGTGCGAAGCCCCCTTCTGCTGCCAGTTCATCGAATTCGCCAACGCAGTGGCCACGAGAGCGGACAAGCTGCGGCCCTGGCAGAAAGCTGCTTTCTACTGCGGGTGAGGAGGTGACGGCGCGGGGCATCGCGGCGAGCTGTGGGCGCCGGGATGGACGAGGGTCACTGCGCGGCACGGGAAACGGGGCTGGGCATCGAGGGTTGTCTCTGTCTTCCAGGATGGCCGTGTTCCCCGTCATGCTCAGCCTGACCCTGACCACGCTCTTTGGAAACGCCATCGCGTTTGCAACTGGCGTGCTTTATGGCCTCTCGGCTCTCGGCAAAAAGTAAGAGAGATGTGCCTGCCGGTGAGGGGGAGGGAAGGAGAAGGTGGACCCCTAGCCCTTGATGGGGAGGCCTCAGTACTGGGTGCTGCACTGCCCTTGGTGGGCATCCAGAGCTCAGGCCCCCACGCTGTCCCATTTCTCCCCAGGGGAGATGCCATTTCCTACGCTCGGATCCAGCAGCAGAAGCAGATGGACGAAGAGAAGCTCACGGGGACCCTGGAGGGACAGGCTCTCTGAAGCACGTGAGCTCGGGGTAACCTCTCTTGGACACTGAGACACTGATGAAGACATGGAAATCCGCTCTGCCTTCCCTCTGCCTGCTCCCCTCGCTGTTACTCCATGGTTTTCTCAGACACTGCAGCAACTGGAAATCTCAGGGGCTGGGGCGGGCTGTGTCCCTGCTCACACTAGCAGCCAGGCCTCAGCGTGTTGGCCCCTCTCTCCTCCCTGCCCACTCAGAGGTTTGACCCAAACATCTCACAGCCCCTTTTTTTTTTTTTTTTTTTTTTGCTGCAGGGGTGCTGGCCCTTTGAGTGCTACTTTACATGCTAAACGTGTAGCCTTTCTTCGGCGTGGCCCCCGGTTAACATCCGGGGCCGTGACGAGCCCGCCGTGTTTTGCTGAGGTGTGAGACTCTAATCCAGAGTTTAGCAATACTTAGTGATGCTTGAGCTTGGACTTCTTTCATTGAATAGGTTTTAATTAGGGTCCAGTTAGGTCAGGCACTGGAGGCATCACTGCACTGTAAAGGACTTCTAGCAAAAAACTCGCATGAAGACAATGACCATCTCTACAGAGGAGTTGCCAGAAGTTTTGGGGCGGATCTTGATACCTAAAAGCACAGTCCCCCCTTCCTCTGCATACAGCTGCAGGCAGTTGCTGCAATTTGTTTGAAACATATGAATTAATTACTTTGTCTTAATAATGGTACTTTTCTTACGCTTCACCCTTTCACTGAGGGAGAAGGGAAGTGAGGTTTGCTTTACCTCAGCTGAAAAGGGATAATAATATTCCTTGAGCCAAGCAAGGGCTTTTTGCTGGTGTAGCTAAGCGTTACAGATGCGAAAGAGGGTCCTTCTTTCATGAGCCAGGACTCTGGTCTGGCATCTGCCTCTGCGTCCGCTCCCGTAGCACATGGGACCTGCTCTTTGCTTCTGTCTGGTACAGTCTTTGCCTTCGGGCTCATGTTTGCATCAGTCCTGGGCAAGTTTGGTGTGGGAAGGTGGCCCATCCTTCCCTTGCAAACGCAGAGCCATCTGTACCATTTCAGTGTGCCTGGCAGGTTACAGGCCAGGACGTCTCACTGCTTTATTCCAGGCTCCATCAGTGGTGCTCCTGTCTTATTCTCTATTTGGTTTGTATCATGCAGACCAGAACGGCTCTCTAATCCAGATCCCCTGCTTCTCGTCACAGTCTTTTCTGGGGGAGTTTTAATTTATTTGAATTTACGTGATTGCTTTTTGTTCTGATTAGGAAAAGGAAGAATAATTTATTTCTAGTTATTTAAATAATTTGATGGGACTCATTCTCTCTGGACGTAGGAGAAAGGAGTGCTCTGTTTCCTGTAGTTCAAAGCAATGTCTCGTTTAATTTCGAGTGTCTCTCTCCGGACCCAGGGAGAACCCTGGCTGCTGTAGTCGAGGTACTGTAAAACCCTATTTCAGCCTTGAGAGTGTTTCTCAGACTTTTGGAAAGCGTGTTTCCCTTTTTAACTCCTCTGTCTTCTTCTGGGCCGCTGACTTGACAGAAGTTTGTTTTCCCCCTCTTCCAGGAGAGAGAAGTGAGAAAAAACAGGCTGCAACTCCTGGATTTGAGGGTTTGTACTCGCTCCAGCAATTAAGGCAGTTAGCAGCTGTGGTGAGTACTTGTAGCCGGTAACTGCAGCCTGTTTGTACTCCCCTGCTCCGAGAGCTGAGCTCCTGCTGCCACCTAACACTTTGTTGTCCCATTTGAATCACTTGGGCACCCGAGGGGTCACGCGCTGCGGTCTGAGAAACGCTGCTGCAGCTTGAGGGCTGTTTGTCCGAGGAAGGATCTGTCACCCGGCTGCTCTGTGGCTTTTGAGCAGTGTCATGTTGGTCGCTGTTTATATAACCACGTCCTAAACATATTTGCGTTAATTGAATGACACCAAAATAGCCCTAGCAGTACCTGGGGTGGCCCCGGTGCTGGAGAGAGTGGCTAAGTACTGCTGTAGTGTGTGTGCGCTGCAGCAGGAGCACGGAGATCCCTGGAGGTTAGGGGGCTAAGCTGGCAGCTGATGTTATTTGTTGTTTCTTTGGTGGAGTTCAGGGAGGTGTGAAGATTTACACCAGTCAGGAACACAGCTTGGGTTTATTTACATGCACAGCCCCTTGTGGCTGGATGCTGGGGAGCTACTTTGTGCTAAGCCCCCTTTCCCCCAGGCCTCTGTACTGTAATTGCTCTGACACCAGCTTGTCTGGGACACGGAATAGGCACCGTCAGCCCAGAGGCAGCTTGTTTCAATAAAGGCTCTCCTGTTTCTGAGCCACCAGCTCTGGGCTGGTCCATGTTGCTGCATGGAGTACCTGGGGCATTGGCCTTCCTTTTGTGTGTGTGTGTGTGTGTGTGTGTGCAGGGACCACAGCCTCCTGCGTCGTTGATGCTTCCTGCAGTAATAGGGCAGTGCAAGAGGAACACACTGCAGTCCATGGGATACCTCTGAATAAGGCCTGCGGTGAAGCGCAGGTGGGTAATGGCTTCCCTTCTCTGTGAGCTAGCAATGTCCCTAGGCAGTATCTTTGCTGGATGGTTAAAGCACAGAGTCCTGCCTAGTGAACAGGGCATCTGCATTGATTTCAGGGGGGTTTTAGGGGGTTAAGTAGTGTTTAGTAGAAGAATGTTGCAGACTGACGCACGTGCATGTCTTTGGTAGTGACTGCTTTGTGCTGTGAGTAGCTGCACGGTAGCTTTAGTGAAAGGAGATGAAGGGCAAAGCAGAGGCAATGGAGTAACATTTGCAGTCTGAGCTACACCCGCAGGGAGGAACCACAGAAATGGGCAGGACCCATGCTGGCTTCATCCGACTGCTGATGGTCCGTGGCAGTAGGATGATCCCTGGGGCTGGCACATGCAAGCGCTGCTCCTGGTCCGCTTGCACGGCAGATAGGTCAGCTCTGCTCCATTGGCACCCACGGCAGAAGTCCCTTGGACGACAGCAGTCCTGTCACGCTGTGTTTTGCAGCTGCTGGAGGCTAGGCAAGCTCATACTCTACTTCAGCTCTGCCACTGTCAGCAGGATGCAAAGCTCAGCTCTGGGCACGCTTTTGTTGAAAACGGGCCTCAGGGCCTCCTCTGCAAGAGCAGAGCTGGAACCTTTGGCCAAAGTGCTAAAAGATATCAGCTCTGCTTGGTGCCTCTGTGCCTGCCCCAACAGGAGGTGTCTGGGGTGCATGCTCCAAGAGCGCTGATTCCAGCAGAACCAGCGTTATCAGGGTGAGCACGTCTGGAGTTGACGCTCTTGGGAATTTTGGCTGTCCGCGCCGTGGCTGAAACTAAGCCAGATGCTGCCATCATTGCAGACGTGGCCTGGTGAAGGATGCATCCTACCAGCAGGGCCTGCAGCATCCGTGGCTTTCAGGAGTTACGGTGAGAGTTAGTGGATGGTCTCACCCCAGCATGGACAAGAGACTATTTTTGTGGAGCTTGATAAGACTTTTAGAGTAGTAATATCACCCTAGTTAATAGGCCCATTCACAGTGCATGGTGGTTATTAATTGTGTTTAGAGGCACCATCATGGTACTTGGAGCTGTACAGGAATAAATGAAGTTAAAAGCCCTGCTCTAGTGATTTTACAGTCTCAACCCAATCCCAACCGATGGTGTCTGGGCTGGATAGCTAATCTAAGGAGTCTCTACAGAAGAGGTTATCTTTGCCAGGTCACGGAAGGGCCTCTTGGGAGAATGGGTCAGAAGTTTTATTATGTGAGAACTCAAGAGCAGGTGATGCATTGCCTACAGGGAGTTGCTGACACTAAATATGGAAAGACACCTGGGTACTGGCTGCAAATGTGCACTTAGAAAAGAACTCTACCACTGTTCACCATGTAAGCTGTGCAATTCTCTTCCCCAAGTGCATTTATACAGCATATAACTCTTCTATGTCCCATTTAGTCACGAAAATGACAGCCCTTGTGCATGTAAGTCCCACTTTCCTCTGGGACGTTCTACTGGGTGCAAAGAGAAGAGTGGAAGCACACCTTATCCTATGTACCCAGGCCTTGCTGCCCTAGGCAGGAGCTGATTTTGTAACACCAATTGACTCTCTGCATGCAGTGAATAAAAAGACCATTCTACCTCTGGAAAGAGCCACTGTGATTTCTCAGACTCTAAGTGTTGTAGCAAAAGCCCTCAGACTTTCTGTACGGAAGGAAGGAGGTCACTCAGAGAATACTTTTCCAATGAGGTTCTCATAGGACGTGAAGAGTCCAACCTCATTTCATACTCAGGCGTTTCCTCTTCAGGCCAAGCCCTGGGAAGCTCAATTTGTCCTTATCATTTTTGCCTCAGGAAAAACATCTGCTGTCTTCAGGGAAGGATTTCACTTAAGTGAAGATTTCAAGACCTGGTAGGCAGCTATGAGAGACAGGGAATGCTCTGGGACAGGGCTGCCGGAGATCCTGCTCTTCTGGAGGTCAGTGGGAACCAGCAGCTGTCAAGATCTCTTGTAATCAGGCCATACTTAGAATGAGTCATATTCCAGCCAGGCCTGGACTTCTTTCTAGAAATGGAGCTCAGCTGCAAAAATTGGGCTTAACGCTGAAATTCCTCTGAGGTTTTGATTTTTGACTCATCTCTCCGCCTCTGTCCTTGGCTGCTTTAAATGAGTCCTCTGATAAGGCACATCTTCTCTTAGGTGATTTCTCTCATGTCCTACTGCAGGGAAGCTAAATAGTAGTTAGCTTTTCCTGCAATCTAGCCCAAATATGCTATGTTAGCCCCTGGCTTCCTTATCAAAGCAGGTTGATGTGTGCCTAGACTGGGAGGACACAAGCCTATCCAGAGGCCTGCAGGGTGCCAAGTGCTTTTCAGAAGGGTGTAGAAATGCTTGGGCAGATCATCTCCAAGGTCAGCCACTGTTGTGCTGCACCGTTGGGAAGGATTAGGTTGGATGTGATACTCAGCAAGGCCATTCACTCCTCACAGCTGTAGCCGCCTCCTGCAGCTCTGTTTTACATAGGCTTAGGCTCTAAGGAATGACTTTAGCATTGCAGGAAAAAGGGGTAAAAGCAATTTGCTACTAACTATGCAGGTGAAATCTCAAAGTGATGGAGGTGGAGGGTCTATATGCAGCCATGGTGGAGGCATCTACCTTCACCCAGGGGTGGGAAGGACCTGCCTCAGTACAAAATATTGTCTGTACCATGTTTCCTACAGTTAATCACTTGCCCTACAGCTGAATGTTTGTCTCTGTTCTCACTCTTCGTTCTGATGTAAAGTTTCTTTGTGAACTGTATTTGGTCTCGTTCATTAGGCTTCTGGTATAAGGTGTGTTTTTAGAGCAATAAAATGTGGCAGCTTTTTATATGAAATATCTGGCTCTGCCTCTTTTGAGGTCCTCAGGTGCATAACACTCATCTGGGAACACGGCAGCAGGCTGCTGTCATCTCCACGTCACAGTCCTCGTCTGCCCTGTCTCGTCCCACACGCCTGCAACTCCCTTCTCTGTAAATCAAGGCGATATCCAGCTGGAAGCAAACTATTTTATTTTTGCAACTACATGACGGACTTTTGCCAGAATGGTGACTACAGCTGTTAACTCTGTTCCAGCCAAGACCTGGGGCTCCTGGGCTGCTTTGGTGGCTGCAGTGCTAAGGAAGTACAAGGTCTCTTGTCCACAGCCACGCATTTTATTGCTAGGACATCTTTATTTCCAGTCTGGTGCTGGACACCTGGTCCTATACCTCAGGTTGATATGCTGCTCAGAGAGCAACGGGTCCTTAAATAGTTGAATGACTCAGGAAGAGAAGGTAAAGTTCCAGCTGGCAATTTCTATATCCAGAGCAAGACAGTCATTGCCACTCATTCATCTCCCCCTTGGAGGGAGCATTATCTTCACAGAGAGCTCCAGTTTCCACCTCTAGCAGCACAAAGATTTTTTTTCTAGCCCCTAAGCCTGTGGGCTGGTGGCCTGGTGCAGCTGTCAGGCGGCAGCTCCTACCTCATGAACGATCTCCGGCCTGTCCGGAAGTAGGACTCAATCTGTTCCAGTGACCTGCCTTTGGTTTCTGGAACACAGCAGCCTGTAAATAAGAAGTTCCCAGCACAGATGACAGTGAAGAATAGGAATGGCACCTCAAGGCCGAAGTTTTCCTGAAAAGAGGGATAGAAGGCACACGTGAGCTGGAGCAGTGGGGCTCTGATGAGGTGCAAGCAGACGCTCCCCCTGAGGCATACCCACCACGACCGGGAGGAAGAACCGGGTCAGCATGAAGGCCGTCAACCAGCTCACAACAACACAGAGGCCTGATGCCACCCCACGGGCTTTCAGAGGGAGGATTTCCGACATCAGCAACCAGGTGATGGGACCCCAGCCCATGGCATAACCTGGAGGGGAGGAAAGGCTAAAGTGAGGCTGCTGGGGCTTTAAAGCCCTTTAGGGGGGTACATAAAAGCCCTGTACAATCCTGCTCTGGTCCCTTGTCACTCATTCCCCCACATTCACACTCTGTCAACGCCACTGTCCTCGAAATGACTTCAGGTGCCATCTTTCTGAAACAGTCTCCCAGGGAGATCTGCCTGCCTTCCAACCCTGAGCCCAAACCTCCTCACCCTATATCACCCTGCCCTGGCCCAGAAACATCCCCTCAAGCAGACACCCAGTCCAGCACTGTGGGTCCCAGGCTTTTGCTCTCTGCACCTACCCATTATGAAGAACATGGTTGCCAGGAGGGGGATGAGGGTGATGTAGCTGGTCGGCTCAGCGTCATGGTTGGCCGAGCTCACCAGGGTCTCATTGGTGGTGGTGCCATTACGAGAAGGCAGCATGAAGTGGATATAGAGCCCCATGGTCAGGTTTGAGGCCAACATGACACCGGCTGCGGAGAGATACAACGGCATGGCGGGACTGATGGGAACGTGACCCTCTGTTCAACGGCTCAAGCTTCTGGGAACACCTCTGCCCAGGAGCTGCGCCACTATCAGAGGTAAGAGACCCCCTGAAGATTCCTTCATGGTTGAAGTTACCACTCGAGCACATCTGCAAAGCCCCTGGAAATCCTTAAAGAGCAGCTTCCTTTGCACATCAGTGGGAGAGAGACATACCTGATACAAAGAGCAGAATCTTCCTCCCGGCTTTATCCATTGAGGCAGCAGCAATCGCCACCGAGAAGAGACGAACCAGGCCAACAAGAGCTGCATCATACTCTGGTTTCTGCAACGGCAAAAACAGTGGGGAAGCTGAGATGGGAGATCTAGGGAAACGGCAGGTTCCTACATGTGTTGGCTTAACTCTGGCCGGTGACTTTGTCAAAGCTACATACAGAGGTCCTTCCTTGAACAGCAAGGGATTAGACAAGAGCAGCCTGCGGCTCAGAGGCTGGGAAGGTGGAGCCAGTGGGCTGAGTCCTGCTCCCCATCCTCACGAGGCCTTTTGTGGAGCGGGTGCTTGCTACATGCTCCTAACCAGGTGCTTTAAAAGTGGCTTTGAACTCGGAGCCCAGGAGCCACAGGTGACTTGGAGCATCTAGCAGACCTCCCTGACCATGGGGCGATCTGTGCATGGACCAAACCCCAGGGCTCACCAGGATGACAGATGTTTTATTGAATATTGACTGCAGGTACACGAGGACGCAGGTGACCCCAGAGAGCTGCTGCAGGAACCTCATCACTACCGCGATGAGGATGGGCTTATAAATGAAGGGGTCCTTGATCTCTGCACAGGAAATCCGCCTGCTCTGGAGGAGACAAAATCAGAAAGTTGGGGTGTTAGCAGCCACAGGCATGACTGGGGCACCCAGAAAACAGCTGAGGAGATGCCAAAAGGAGATGGGATTTCACAGTTTTCATATTACTTCTCCCACACGCTGGAGGTGAGCCCCTTCCTCTCCTCACCTGCTGCCTCACACTGTCCTTAATCTGCTCGTACTCCCGGGCATAGTCTGTGTCCTTGCCCCGGAGCCAACACAGCGACCCCAGGGCTTCGTCTTCTTTCCCCTGGGAGAGCAGAAACCGGGGTGAGTTGGGCATGAAGCAGAGC